ATATGCTTTTTAAATCTTTATTTAGTAACTTTCTTGAAGCACATACTCTGTCTGATTACTTTTACAATTATTGGAATTCCTAATATGACTGATTTATAAGCATGTATGTATAGACATAGATTATAGCAACAGATGTTGTAAGAATACGAGACTTTTCTTTGAAAGTTATCTGTAAAAAAGCTTTAATTTCAAGTGAAATGTATTTAGATTTGTATACTGTAGGAGTACAGAGTTGCATTATAGAAAAAATTTTATATTCCTGAACCATAAGAATATGGCTTTTTTTTTTTTATTTTATCTGAAAAGAAGTTTTAATTTCAAAGAAAAGGTTTGATAGGGAAAGTAGTTAATTTTATGTAATTTATGTAATTTTGCTTTCCATATAATTGCCAGTACAAGTTCTTAATTAAGATTAATGACATAATTTTGTCCAAGCATTCCTGAGAAAGTGATGTTTTATTAAAACCTGAAAATCAATATCTGATTGATTCCAGCTCTTGTAAAGGAAAAGATTTCACTTAGACTACAAAAAAGACAGAGATCATTCAAAAAAGTCAATAACATAAACATTTACACATATGTTTTTTCTAGTTTACTCGCAAAAGCAGCTTTAAGGTATATTGAGGATAAGAAAATTAAATTCCCTTTCTAAAGGCTAATTTTTATTTAATTTTTATTGTTCAGAACATCAATAAAAGGCCTTTCACATCAGTCAGTAGCTCCCTTTAACACAAGGCAAGTGTTATTCTAATGCAGTTAGACTTTGTACTTTGACATCCTCTTCTGACAGGCTTGGAGAGGAAACTTGGGATGGCAACATGTGCCACTTGTGTCAGAAGAAGATAAAATGTGAAGCTTTTGGCTTCCAAGGATGGAAACAGGCATTAAAACCAAACAATATTTTCTGGTGTGACTAATTCAAACCTATTACAACAAGTATCATGCAGAGCATTGATATTCAAATAGTCCTGGAGGTTCGTGTGCACTGGGTTATTTCATAGTATCATGCACATAATTAGGTGACCCTCGAGGGAAGAAATCAGTGCTTATGTAATTCAATTGAGGTCAAAAGCAGTTTTCAAACTGGGTTGGCCCCCCAGGGTATGGAAGAAGGAGATAATTTCTAAAGCACAGAGGAAAATTCCAGCCGACTTCTGTCCACCTCCTTCCACTTCTCTTCTCTCTTCCCCATGCCTGAAGCACTGCCCCAGCACTGGCAGCTCAGTTGGCTCCGGAAGCTTTGTGGAAAAGGTAATCTGTAATTTCAGCTGTCGGAGCCAGGAGTGTGGCAGTCAGCCATTCCAGAGTTTGGGGGGAAAAAAACCAAACAAGAACAACAAGCAAACCAAAACCAAACCCACCAGAAGGGAATTTTGCATATAAAGTTTGTGAACTGCTGTCCTGAGCAAATGGTCCGGAAGCCACAGACTGCTGGGGGCATCAGATCCTGCCACCAACGGGACCTCAGTGCACGATAGCAATTCTGGCTGCAGCATGATATGCTGGCCTTCCTCACTCACCATGTGGCCCAAGGCCTCAGGCATGTCCTCAAACAACCCCGCTGCTATGTAGAGGCTTTAAAAATTTTTGTGCTAAAGTTTTAAAGCTCACAAAGAGCCTTTGGAGCTACTGGCCAAGAGCACGAGTAGATTATCAATAACGTGTTTTTGTTTCTCTCTTGAATGAATGCTTTACTCTCCAGCTTTCAGGCATCCAAATAATTCTAACAGAAGTTACTTGGACTGAAAAAGGACAAAATTGTGTCTACAAAACCATGAAAAAACTAATTAATGAAGTCAACAAAAGTTTCCTCCAGAAATGGGATGGACCATTTATAGAAAATGGATATTGACGTCAGTGGCTATGTTCACTTATTAAAATTTAAAACAAAGCTGTGAAGAAAAGAGTTTTGTCAGACTTTCTTTTTAATGTCCAGTTTACGAGGAGTTGGAAATAAAGTTACTTTTCCAACTCAGTTGGTATGATGAGGGAAAACGTAGAAGAGATTTTTTTGGCTTCCTGTTTATTCTTCAGTTTGTTTACCATGTTAAATAGCATGATGGCAAACCACCAGAGTGGACAAGCAATGGGTAGAGTCCCAGTTTCCCTTCTGTCATGGATAGAGATGATGAGGGATGCTGCCTGGGGAGTACTGAGCTGTATAAATCCACTCCTGAGCTCTCTCTGGTGAGGCTGAAGAGGAGACTGACAATTACCAGTGTTTTTTTTGGAGGAAAAAAACCATAGTTTCATAAGAGTAACCCACCTGGCCCATTTCAGAGATGTATTTTAGAAAGAAATCATGGTTTAAGTGCTTAGTTTTCTAAGCAATTCCTTTAAATTTAGATGTCAATATTGCAAGTGCTAAAGTTTAGAGAAGCTGTTCTTGATCCATATATTTTCTTTTGTCTGTTTCCCCCACTGCCTCATCTTCTTCCCCCTCCTTTTCTCTCTGTCAAATTACCTGTTATATTAACTTCTTTTTAAGATTTAAATGGATGTGTTATCTTAAATAAAAATCCCCAAAGAGATTCTTGCTTCCTGTTTTTGTATTTTGTACTGTTTAGGTCTCACTATTGTAGTGCTTGAAAATCTATTGAATAAAAGAAGAAAATGGAAAATTTCACTTATATGTACTAAAAGGTTCTAGCAAATTGTACACTACATTTGTGACTGGACTAATTAGAGAACAAAAAATCGACTAACTTGTCACTTCTTATTACCATATTCAGAAAAAAAAAAAACAGGCAAACAAATGAAAGAACCCCCCCAAAAGTATCATGTGATGAGTTAAAGCACAGTTATTTTAGCTAATACAGGTTATTAAAATACCTTTAGCTCATGAAGTGAGGATTATTGTATAGTTTTGCGTTTCTTATCTGGTACCTCCAGAAAAACAGAAAATTTTCTTAATTCTAACACATGAACAGTTTTTACCCTCTTCTGTATATGCATGCTTGCCAGAGGGCTCTGCTGCCTGCTACTTTTTCTGTTACCTGAGAGTTTTGACATCTACTGTATCCTTCATGCTCTAGCTGTAATCAGCAAATGCACCTCCTCTTTCTTCTTCTTATTCTTCTTCATTCCCACCTGGAGGCTACTTAATTTTCTTTCTCTGTTTCTGTTCTCTGAGCCCATTAGCTTGGTTTCCTTTGCTCATACTGTTTGTGTAGCTCTGCCTTCTGTGTCATTCTGAGTTTTGTTTCAAACCAACACCCTTGGTTTCTGACACGGAGTATGAGTCATAATGACAGTGCAGTTTGTATTTGGAATCAGAATAAGAAAGTCTGTCTCACCAGTGGACATCTGGAACTTTAGGTTCTTTTGATGATACTTTAGACTTTTGAAAGAAACATTCAAATTCTTTGTCAGCTAACAAAGAATCCACCCCAAAGTTTTTAGTACCTTTTGTCTGACAGTTTAGAAATATCATCTTCAAACAATGAACTTAAACATTCTGGGATATTTCCAAAATACTTCTCTTATGGAGCAGAAAGCCTTAGCTGCATCTGGTAAAGGATCTGCTGTTGCGATGGAAACGTGGATGTGCACCAGAAGGAATTCTATGTCTGGCAATTGACATTGTCACTGTTTCAGAACAGAGTTTTCTAGTAGATCAAAACATCAAATCATAATTTTTGCACAATGTACTCTGAATTTTGAAAGATCCCTATGTGACAATTTTACTTACCTTGTTTTCTCAGAGAATGGAAGGACAGTTAAGTGTCATTTTTTTGTTTGTTTGTTTGTTTGTTTTTCACCCTGCTAGGTCCTTTTAGAAATACTTAAATCATGAGGTTCAGTAACATGAACAAAACGTAATGCTCAGGGTTACATTTTCTCTACAAAAATTGGACTCTAGAGTTCTTTGAATTAAGTATTCTTATTCTTTATCCTTAAGAATTTCTGTTCTGTCTTACTGAACAGAGAAATGAAACAGATATTAAGAAATGGATCTTTGAGATTCTCTCATGTCTGATACACCGGATTCTGTTGTAAATAATAATCAGCTCATAAAGCCTGAGAATGGAGATAAGGAGATGAATGTTTCCTTGGTGTTCTCTGCAGGATCCTCATTCAGCAAATCAAGGGTCAAATGCATTTACAAAACATTCGGAGAGAAATCTTGCATTGTCACAATGTGTTCCTGGGGAGTACTCAACTTTACACACTCATTTACTGCCCACCTGGAAACTCAAATGTAAATAAATAAATAAATAAATACATTTTAAGTAATTTTGTCTCTGAGCCTAATTAAATCACACAGTGAAATGTGGGAAGGCAGACAATGTTTCCTACTCTCTGGTTGCCTGGCTTATCAACATCCAGGAGCAGAGTCAGTAATAAGTTTCAGGAGAGAGCACAAACTAATGCAGGCTGTAGGTAATGCAGAAACAACATTTTGTCCTGGGATGTGGGGATTAAAGGCTAAAGTAAACAAGTTGGTCTGTGTTAGGTTGAAACATCCTTCCTTGTATGATTAAAAGGGTCACAAGACTCTTTTTAATTAAAGTCTGCAAAAAGGCCACCACTTCCCATTTAAGGAATGCTCAGAGCTGATGAATAGGTGGCTCTTGGTGTGGGGCTCTAATTCCAATTTGTCATTTGCCTGTAGTATTACAGTATGATCCCTTCCCTCCTGAGAGCTGCCAAAACGGTGTCTGTGAGCAAGTTGGTTGTATAGTTTCACTGGTAAATACATGGATCTGTTATTGTTTACTTATTTTTGGGGAAATTGTTCAAATACACAGTAAGGACACTAATATTAGAAAGATTTTGATGAAAGGGAGAAATAAACCTTTAGTCATAGGCTAGGGCAAATCAGCACCTTCTAAATATTGTCATTACTGGTGAGAAAGAAGCAAAATTATGATGAACAGCTATAAAATACACACTAAATTTTCTAATTTTTTCTTGGGATGAAAAACAATGTCATGTGCATTGGCAATTATTCTTTTTATTTATATTAGACTTTTCTTTCTGTTTTTATTGCATTACAGAAACTCAACTTACTGTATGAAAGTGTCCATTTCGCTGACGGTGGGTGAAAATGACACTGGACTCTGCTACAATTCAAAGATGAAATATTTTGAGAAAGCTGAACTTAGCAAAAGCAAGGAAATCTCATGCCCTGAAATTGAGGATTTTTTATTTCCATTTAGGGAGCCTGAAATTCTGTGGTATAAGGTAAGGAATGCAATCGATCTATACCTTCAAAAAGATACTATGCAGTGTTCTTTTGATTTTCATGATCTAAATTTGTTATGAAACTTTGATTGTTTTAAAATTTGTAAAGAACAGACAGCAGAATCAATGATAGAGAAGAACAAACTAATTGAGAGAGATTCAAATGCTTCCTTTGGTAAACTTTATAAGATATCTGTGCATGCTCTTACCTGAATTAATGGCTTAATTTTGCAGCATGAAATTCAGCGTATACTATCAAAACTTTGATTTCTGCATGAGCTGAGGTTATATTTGCAAATATAATTTCATTTTTTTAATTTTACTATACGTACTGATTTCTAGATCTTTACTTAAAGGCTAAGTTCTTGCAGATAGTGCCCCCTGTGTGTAGTGCACTGGAACTTCCATGAACAGCAGTTTGAGTTCTTCAATTCTTACTATCTACATGAAATACTCAGTACTCCAGTTCTCTATTTAAAGACCCCAAACCGCTCAGTAAATTGGAAATTTATGTTCTGTGTATTTTACCTGCATAGACCTTTACAGATGTCTGTGTATATAGGAAGTCCTAGTTTAAGTATGCACTGGTATACATTCTAATTATTTTTCTGAAGTGTGATAATTTACACGATAATATAAATGCTATTAATTATGGTTTACAAGGCTATGCTATCTAATAAGGGAAATTTTGTGGCCTAGAGAGATATGGTTCAAATTAACTTTCAGCATATCTAAAATAGGAGAAATGTAACCAATTATTTGTTTATTCTCATCTTGGATTTTGTGTTTGTAATACAATATTTTTGTAGATTAAAAACTCACATTTTCTAAGTTCTCTAAATTTTTTTGTTATAATGTAAAAAATAATTATTAAGAAGAAAAAAAATAATCCTTGCCTGAAGCTGCTGGCAATATAAAAATCCTTGCCTGCCTAGCTAATGGCAGTATAAAAGTAATAGATCACAGGCATAAGTGTAACGGTAAATACATAAATTAAATGGGAGCCACTCAGCAAACTAATGTCAAAAGAAAACCAAAGGAATCAACTCTTTGTTCTTGACAGAGGCACAAATATTAAATCAGCTGATAAAATTCCAGTCTTTTTTCTTTTTAATCAACACCTAAATGAACTGTATTTTTAGATGTTTAGTGTATACACAGTTTATAACTAACCTGGGCTGTTGCCTAGCCCCCTTAGCTTTGAGCAGCATTGTAAACAGTGGTCCATTTTAAGTGTAACAACACAGTCACTGAAGTGTTATATTATCTTTAAACAGGAATGCAAGTCAAAGACATGGAGATCAAGTATTGTGTTTAAAAAGGACGCTCTTGTCATTCGGGAAGTTAGAGAGGATGACATTGGAAATTACACTTGTGAGTTAAAATATGGATTCTTTGTTGTCAGAAGAACGACGGAATTAACAGTTACAGGTAATTACAGGATCTTGCTATATCTCCTGTATTTATGTAAAAAATATTGAATACTGTGATTTGAGTTGTGTGTATTTGAGTCATTTGCACACAACTTTGCTGTGTGCCTAGATATGAACGGCTCGTACATTTAAGCTCTCCTGAGTACTTCACAGTGGTATCTCTAGCACCTTGACAAGTCTGACTTCTGTTCTGTTCCAAAAGATTGTGGGGAGCTCTTTCTTTTGACTGGAAAATGTGGTCAAGGAACAGGTAAATTCAGCAAGCATTACCTCTAACAGAAAATAAGATTATTAAATCTTATCATACTTCTTCATGTGCTTAAATGCCTTGGGATTTAAAAATAGCTGTAGCAATAGCTCAATAGTATTAGCTCTAATTGTCTTTGGATGTGAGAACGGCTGTAGCCACAACCCAAGAGCAGCAGCTCTGTCCCAATGAGACCTTTGCACCTGTGTGACAGGTGCCTGAGCAGGGCGTGACTGAGGGGCAGTAGCATTATTCCCCTGGTATTCTCTCCCCACTTTCTGCAGTTTATAGTTCAAGAACTTCCTGATCTCAATTATCATTCACCGTGGCTACCAATTAACCTATTTTCCATTAGTCTGATTATTTTTCTAATCCATTTAGTCTTGGCTTCAAAAACATTTTGAAGTATCAAGTTCCATGGAGTAATTATGCAACATAAATAAACTCTATAATTTAGTAAACAGCAATTGAACAAGATACATTTAATATAATCTGCATTTAAAACTACCATATCAATATGTAAAATCCATTATAGATGAAAACAAAATATCTACTGTAATAGTGATGTCCACAGAACAGTATGAAGAATAGTCCACTGAATTTTCAATTCCTCACCAGACCTCCAACCTCTGTTTTAAAAATACGTAAAACATATAGTTGAACATATACCTAAGGTAGAAAATCAACCTTAGGATAGGATAGGATAACAATGGAAGAAGGGAGTACATAATGATCTATGCAATGCTGTGTAGTTACACAGTAAATTTCATAAAAGAAGGCAAAATAAGGATTTTCTTGGAACACTGGAGGTGAACTAGATCCATGTGGATGTCAGACGCCAGCATGTATGAGTTCTTACACCTTCAAAATACCTAATAAACCAAGAAACAAATCTTAGACAAATTATTTTGTGGGCTTTTCTTGTTCCTTCTTAGTATCTAATATACAAATCCATTGCATACCAACAACTAGTAACACACTTATGCTGGGCATTACGTTGAATTGCAACAGTTTCTTTCAATGGTGAAAAGTTTGTTTTCTCTTTCAATGTATCCCATTTGCCCTCTCCATTAACAAAATTGTAGAGAATTGTGGTATGTAATTAGATGAGTCTGGAAATCCTATAATTTATGTTGTTTTGGGAGATTTCAAGTAATCAATTGTATTTATTTAAGCTCAATAACCAGAATCTTTTTGTTGTTGTATGGAATTGATTTATTTGGTCAGTACAGGCAGGCAATTACTGTCAAGTGATTAACCTCACAGTAAACATCCATATACTCTGTTTGATTGACTCTGATATAAAGAAAACAAAGAGAGATTCTTCGAGCATGTGATTTATACCAGAAGGAGGTGGTCAATTGTCTTTTACAATATATGATATACGGATTTGAAGAGTACGTATTCCCTCCGTCATCAGGTGATCCCTTCTGTCCCCTGCTCCACTGCACAGCAGTGTTTCAACAGGCTCAGACTGACAGCAAAGAGAATGGAAAAAAAAAACATTGGAACCAGATGCATGTTTGCATTTGTAGGAATAATTTAAAAAAAATGTAATTTATCACTTGTAGTGTAGGTAGGAGTTCAGTATTTAATGTTTAACTAGACAGAGACAGAAGGAGACTTGGCTGATTTTGATGTGCTAAAAATGAATGAATGCATATGGAGGGAATTATTCAATTTCCACCTCTGCAAACTCCAGCAGATTTAAGGACAACCTCCAAATTAGTAAACTCCTTGAGTAGTACTGTAGGTCTTCATAACATCTTTATAATATTATGTGACTAAAGAGGACAAGCAGATTTACTTATAGTACTACTAATTTTATTACACCAATATTGATGTCTTGATAAGACTTTTATTTAGTGCTTTATAGGTAGAGATTCTGACCTTAGGTGCCCATCATGCTTTCTCGGTGACCTGAAAAGCAAGTTGAGGTGCCATGGACATACATTGAGGAGTTCATAGAATAAATGGGGGTTGGTGGAACAGACTGTTTATTTGATTTGGAAAAGGAATTAAACTTTAATTTAGAAACTGAGAAATAAATGCTGCAAATGTCAAATTAAAAGTAGAGAATTAAATTGATAGTTGATTTCCTTACTGTATTAATGAAAACATAATTAATGGAAACAAAGGAATAACACACCTCTCAGACGTACAGTCTCAAACATGTCGCCAGGCAGTATCAATAAATGGTGACATTTGTGTGAACCGTTGCTGACAACAAATTCCATCAAATTTCATCAGCTCCACAAGGAGTGATTTTTTTTCCTAAGACATTTGAAATTTCTCTACCAAAGATACTTTTTAACTAGAATGAAAAAAATTAAAAATATTAGTAATAATTAACAATTTGCCTCAGAGTTTTCAGAACATGTGGGAAGTTGCGATTCGTTTATCAACATATAACATGTTTATCAAATTTGGATTTATGAAAAGTAACTCTCTGTATTCCTTAGTATTACCCTTTGTAATAATGTGTGTGCTGCTGTCACACACCCATCATTAGAGAACAGTCTCTTATTTTTTTCCATTTTCTATGTGCTATGTTTCCAAGTATGTGTTTGTGTAAGATTGGAATTTGGACTTTCTACATTTCTTTCCTGGTATATACCACATTTCCTCTAGAAACAGAAAAAAAAAAAACAAACCTCACTTGTGATGAAAGAAATCCATGAGCCAGATATTTTTTATATATATGTATGTGCATGTATGTGTGTATACATATATATATATATACACACACGTTTGTAGTATTCTCAGTATAAAGCTGAAGATCCCAGTCCCTGCGTTTTCCTTTCTTGACTTGGGTGGCATGGCTGGAGCACTTGCCGTTGAAGGCTGAGGCATAGAAGTCATCAGGAGCCTCAGCCTTCTCTTTGCCCAGGGTAACCAGGTCTCCCGTTTCCTTCCATCAAAGGAGAGGGCCCACATTATCCCTATTCTTTCTTTTGCTTGCAACATATCTACAGAAGCTCTTCCTGTTATCCTTGATATCTGTGGACAGACTCAATTCTTACTGTGCCTCGGCTTCCCTAACCTTGTCCCTAACTTTCCGTACAACTCCCCTGCATTCCTCCCAGGCCACTTGTCCTCTTTTCCACTTCTTTGAATGTGTCCTGTAAGTATTTTGAAAGTGTAGTGACATTCAGAGTACTCTGAACTTTCTGGTGATCTTTTAAGATGAATGTGGCTGTCTCTCTTAAAAAAAAAAAAAGGAAGAATAAAATAAATTTTATTGGGGAGGAAAAGTTATGATGTCTTCAGAAGATATGAGAAAGGTTAGAAACAGTTTTCTTTACCTTATAAGCACTTATAAAAAGCTCTCTTTCTGGTGTTATCCACAGGTATTAAAGTAGAAGGTAGGACATCTTCACAAAAGTTTTTTTGAAGAACAGAGTCATATGTGTAAGCAACTGCAATACTGTAAATTGAGTAGTAGCTGCCGGATTCCTTAAGGCACGCAGGGTGAGCCAGCTACAGCCCTGGGGCGATGAGGCAGCAAGCAGGCTGTCTTCCTCACTGCTCTTCTCTCTGGGCGACTATGAAAGATCACTGACCTAAGGATCCCCTTTTTTTTTCTCACATGATGCACTTTGGCAGCCTTTCTGTCTCCTATGGGGAAACCACTGCTGTTATCCCAGACTGTTAGCTATGGATGCAATTATATATGCACATTCTTTTCAGTATTGATGTTGCGTATGCTTGTTATGATAAGCTCAGTGCTTTACACCTTACATACCTGTGTGCCTCATCATAAAATATGGAATGGCTCATATTCTGATTTGGAACTAAAATTGAAAAGTAAGGATGGAATTCACATATTTTGAAAAAGGCCAAACTTACTTCCTAGGTGGTATCCTTCTCATCTTAGTATAGCTGTTGAAAATCCCTAAGCCATGGTAAAAGGTGATATTCCCTCCTTTTAAAGAATGATAAAGAAAATTGCCTTTTCCTAGCTTAAATTACAAGCACTTATTGCCACCTTGGGTACATCTTTAAAATAACAACTATTTTATGGCTCAAATTTTTGTTGGTTTGCTTTGGTTTTGGGTTTGGTTGGGTTTTTTTCTTTGATCTTAATGGAAACTTTTAAATATTTTAGAATATCTGTATCTCACGGCAAAAATATATTATTGTCTAAGTGATTTGAATCAATTTCCTTATTACTCTGAGATCTGACTTAAAAATTACATGCTTTTCAAAACACAAACTATACACTGATTATTCCTGCTTGTAACTTATGAAAATATTCACATAAACAGCCCAGTTGGTAGCTTTTTTGGTTTGTGGTTATACAAATACACATTCTAAAAAGTCCTGCAATGTACAGAGTCATATGTAGACTTTTATACTTCCGGAGTGGTCAGATTAGCAGTTTTACTTTTATATGTGGAGTTTCAATTAAGGCATACCTGCTCTCTCTGACATACTTAATTTAAGAATCGTATTTTACAGCATAGTGCCCAACATGGGTCAAAAATATTTTCCTGCAGTGGTTTCTTTTAATTAAATATTAAGTTTAATAATATTCTTTTTGTTACTTATAGTACCGAGGCATTTGCAAACTCTTTCCACTTTTTCAGGATTTCATTCATATCAAATGAAGACTAGCCCGTGTCTGAGAGGGAGCGTACATGTCCCCACTGCAATAACAAATAGTTCTCAATGATGAACATCATAAAGCAAACAGACCCAATCAACCTTGCAGTTGAAGCATTGCTTATTCAATTCCTCCATGGCTTTTT